TTTTACCCCTACAGACCCTGTTTGCAGACACAGGAAAAATAGGGAAGAATTCAACTAGAGTTTCTGTTTTTTAAAGTAGAAGAGGAAAATATCAGGTGAAAAGAAAAAAAAATGCAAGGATTATAGTACACAGGACAGGCTTATCAAAGCAGGAAGAAGCATTTAATGTCCACATCCGTATGAAGTAGTAGAATGATCTAGAATAAGACTGTCCAGCTGAGATTTATTTATTATTTATTTTTAGGGCTGAAGGCATTACTTCAGTGTAATTTTAATTTTCTGAATTTCAAGTTTTTAAGAGTTTAAGGTCAGGAGGAGGGCTATGAATGGGATGTAATGTGAATAAATAAATAGATAAAATATAAAACGTTTAAGATGAGAAAATGACTAAACTAAACTATGATTTCCACATGTGCTTCAGGAAAGTAGCTCTATTACAGCTCAGCACTTCCCAAAACAACTCAGCAAAAGGTAGTTCTGCAGATGTTCTCACCTTCAGCTTCTGGCTATTATGAGCCCAGCTTGAGCAGCTCAAGGTTCATCTTTCCAGACGGTTTCTAAGCTAATTGCCACTTACTTATCCTAACTGAAATGGAAGGGAATTGAAGTAGTAGTGAAGGGAGAGCATGTTTGGAGCCTTGCAAAATGCTCACACCTCAATCAACTTCAACATGATTGGATTCAGAAGCATAAGGCCAAGGAACTCACTAGTGACTAGACACAATAGATTGTGTAATTCCTTGCATTGCAAAGACAAAGTCGTTAGAACATATAATCTCTTCCATTCTGTGACATAAACTTATCTGAATTTCTAGAAGCCTCCTTTAACGTGCCAAATCAAGTGTTACAAAGTTAGATGGATAAATGCATAGATAGCTCCAGGGTGGAATTTATTAACTAAACATTCTTTTAAAACTTGAAACACCTTCAGCAAAGTGGCCAGATACAAAATTAACTCAAAAAAATCAGTAGCCCTCCTGTATACAAAAGACAAAAGGGCTGAGAAAGAAATTAGAGAAACAACACCCTTCACAATAGCCACAAATGACATAAAGTACCTTGGTGTAACCCTAACCAAGCAAGTAAAAGACTTGTATGAAAAAAATTTCAAGTCTCTGAAGAAAGAATTAGAAGAAGATATGAGAAGATGGAAAGATCTCTCATGCTCATGGCTTGGCAGGATTAACATAGTAAAAATGGCCATCTTACCAAAAGCAATCTACAGATTGAATGCAATTCCCATCAAATTGCCAACACAAATCTTTACAGACCTGGAAAGAAAAATTCTCAACTTCGTATGGAATAACAAGAAACCCAGAATTGCTAAAACAATCCTCTATGATAAAAGATCTTCTGGAGGTATCTCCATCCCTCATCTCAAGCTGTAATATAGAGCAACAGTTATAAAAACTGCATGGTACTGGCATAGAAACAGAATGGTGGATCAATGGAACCAAACAGAAGACCCAGAAATAAACCCACACACTTATGGACACCTGATTTTTGACAAAGATGCCAAAACCATACAATGGAAAAAAGATAGCATCTTCAACAAATGGTGCTGGTTGAACTGGATGTCCACATGTAGAAAAATGAAAATAGATCCATACTTATCACCCTGCACAAAACTGAAGTCCAAGTGGATGAAAGACCTCAACATAAAACCAGACACATTAAATCGGCTAGAAAAAAAAAGTGGGGAATACCCTAGGACTCATTGGTACAGGAGAAAACTTCCTGAACAGAACACCAACAGCACAGGCTCTAAGAGCAACAATCAATAAATGGGACCTCATGAAACTGAAAAGCTTCTGTAAAGCAAAGGACACCATCATCAAAACAAAGCGACTGCCTACAGATTGGGAAAGAATCTTCACCAACCCTTTATCTGACAGAGGACTTATATCCAGTATATATAAAGAACTAAAGAAGCTGAAAAACAGCAAACCAAGTAATCCACTTAAAAAATGGGGTTCCAGGTCATCTCCACGAATAGTCCTTGGTTGGAGTATAAGTCTCTGGGAAGTTCCCTGTGTTCAAATTATCTTGTTCTGTTGCTCTCCTTGTGGAGTTCCCGTCCCCTCCAGCTCTTACTATTTCCCACTTCTTACACGGGTGTAGCCCATGGCAGTTCAGTGTCCAAGTGGGTTACATAGTAATGGGAAGAGGGACTGCCTCTGACATAATCTGATTGGCCTGCTCGTTGATCACTTCCCCCTGAGGGGGGAGCAGCCTTATCAGGCCACAGTAGAGGACAATGCAGCCACTTTTGATGAGAATTGATAGACTAAGATCAGAAAGAAGAGGAGAACCTCCCCTATTAGTGGACTTGGGGAGTGGCATGCATGCAGAAAGGGGAGGGAGGGTGGGATCAGGATGGGAGGAGGGAGGGGCTTATGGGAGGATACAAAATGAATAAAGTGTAATTAATAAAAAAATTAAAAAATAAAAAAAAGAAAAAATGGGGAACAGAGCTAAAGAGAGAATTCTCTGTAGAGGAATATCGAATGGCAGAGAAGCACTTAAAGAAATGCTCAACCTCATTAGCCATTAGGGAAATACAAATCAAAACAACCCTGAGATGTCACCTTACACCCATCAGAATGGCCAAGATGAAAAACTCAAGTTACAACACATGCTGGAGAGGTTGTGGAGAAAGGGGAACCCTCCTCCACTGCTGGTGGGAATGTAAACTTGTACAACCACTCTGGAAAGCAATCTGGCGCTTTCTCAGACAACTAGGAATAGCGCTTCCTCAAGATCCAGCCATACCACTCCTAGGCATATACCTAAAAGAGGCTCAAGTACACAAAAAGGACATTTGCTCAACCATGTTTGTAGCAGCTTTATTTGTAATAGCCAGAAGCTGGAAACAGCCCAGATGCCCCTCAAGTGAAGAATGGATGCAGAAACTGTGGTACATTTATACAATGGAATATTACTCAGCAATGAAAAATAAGGAAATCATGAAATTTGCAGGTAAATGGTGGGACCTGGAAAGGATCATCCTGAGTGAGTTGTCCCAGAAGGAAAAAGACACACACAGTATATACTCACTCATATAAACATACAACATAGAATAAACCCACTAAAATCTGTACATCTAAACAAACTAAGCAAAAGAGAGGACCCTAACTAAAAATGCTCAATCCCCATCCTGAAAGGCAAAGAGGAAGGACATCAGAAGAAAAAGAAAACAGGAAACAACCTAGGAACCTGCTACAGAGGGCCTCTGAAAGCCAGAAGAAAACAGGAAACAACCTCAGAACCTGCCACAGAAGGCCCCTGAAAGCCTCTGCCGTGCAGACTGTCAACGCAGATGCTGAGCCTGATGGCCAACTGACAGGCAGAGTGAATGGAATTTTATGTAAGAAGTGGGAAATAGTAAGAGCTGGAGAGGACAGGAACTCCACAAGGAGAGCAACAGAACAAGAAAATTTGAACACAGGGAACTTCCCAGAGACTCATACTCCAACCAAGGACTATCCGTGGAAATAACCTAGAACCCTGACAATGCAGCCACTTCTGATGAGAACTGATAGACTAAGATCAGAAAGAAGGAGAGGAGAACCTCCCCTATCAGTGGACTTGGGGAGGGGCATGCATGCAGAAAGGGGGGTAGGGTGGGACCGGGATGGGAGGAGGGAGGGGCTTATGGGGGGATACAAAATGAATAAAGTGTAATTAATAAAAGTTAAAAAACACTTGTATCACACAATTGCTTTTCATAAAACAGTCAAACCAAGAAAATCAACTGATATGTAACACATTGTCTTTGAAATATACATCAAAGTTAATATGTGCGGAGTATATACTTTTGCTGTTGTTGTATACTTTTACTTCGGTTTTATTTTCTTTCTTTTTTCTTTTTTCAAGACAGGGTTTCTCTGTGCAGCCTTTGCTGTCCTGACTCACTCTGCAGACCAGGCTGCCCTTGAACTCAGAGAGCTCCACCTGCCTCTGCCTCCCCAAGTGCTGGGATCAAAGGCATGCACCACCACACAGGTAGGGGCTTTGCAGCTCAGTGGGAGAGTGCTTATCTAGCATGCTTATAGCCCTGGTTTCTATCCTCAGCACTGCAAAATAGAAAAAAAAAATAAGCAAGCATATTGAGGATTTTGATCTTTCAGGGAAAATATTCTGGGACTGTGCATCAGCTGGCTTGCTCTTTACATTCAAACACTTCTTTAACACAGACAAATGTTCACCTCCCACTAGAAATGTACACATTCTTATAAACCCAAAACTTTGTTGGCTGTAACAGGATATATTTGTAGTTTAATGTCTTCAGAATGAAATACCAGAACAATTACCTATTAACAAGCAAGTGAGGTAGGTAGAGGCAGAAACAATCATCTTTGTCTATTTTTCACTACTGATTTATTCAATGACCTTTGATAACTTGAAAATGTTTACTACTAAGTCCTGTCATGAGACCATTTAACCCTGATTACAAGACAGACTCCCAGAGCTCCACACAGAATGAGGATTATAAACAATAGCCTTGTGTATCTTGTCACTTTACTTGGGATTCATGCCCCTGGCTATTTTCAATGATGATTCTAAAGTCTATCTTACTGGTCTGATGAAATCTTTGTTTCCGGGCAAAGTACAAATGGTTGTCTTTGACTCCTGGTATTGATCTGAATCCTGAATATGTGCTTTCTCTCTCTCTCTCTCTCTCTCTCTCTCTTATTGAGACAGGGTCCTGTTATGTGTAGCACAGGCTATCCTAGAAGTTATCTTCCTGCTGGGGTTTTAGGTGTGTCTCATCATACCCAGATGATTTGTAGTTCTAAACATTCAATTCTTCCTCTACAACCCCCCCTTCAGTTTGCTTCATGGGTATTATTTTTAAACATACAGTAAATGCATTAAAAAAAATCAGTATGCCAAAATAGAAAATTACCACACTGACAGTAGTTAACAGTTTTCATAATTTAATGAAAAAGTATTGATAAAAATGTGACATTTGAAAAAAGACCAAATTCATCTTCAAAACTTGAATTACATAAGACAAGATGAAAAACATTAACAAGAGGTAATACTTCAAAAAACAAAATGCATTTTGGAGCATTTGGAATGTATGCAACTGAAGGCTCATTTATTTACCTAGAAAAATTCTGTAAAAAATTACCATTTTAATCTCCCTGACTTGAATGATATTTCAGGCAATACTCTCTTAGTGGTATTACATATAGAATTTGGCTAAAGCACTGTTTCTATGTTTGCTTTCCCCCAACTCAGAATTCAAAGGCAAGAAAGACCACTGGCAAGCCACTGGCTTTAATGTAAGAAATTTACAACTCAACTCCATTATACTCTCATTACCACAAAAGTGTCAAATTTATATATTCCCTATGAGTATTCAAATAAGCACTGAAGCTGAGTGTTGAAGAGAAGAAATTCTCTTCCTCATTTTTCAACTAAAACAAAATACAGAACACCTACTACACGTTATGTTATGTTCACACATGTTCATAGGCACATGAGAAACATTTTGAAGATGCAGACAAAGGAGAAGCAAAATACAGAAATTTTCAGAAGAGGGAAAAAAAAAACTCAAAAGAAACCTTTAACAAGGCTCTAAGAATGAAAGTGGGGGACAGGTAAACTGCTTAGTTTCCTAGCTCCATAGCATTGGCTAGAGGGCTACTGCCCTCTCACTGGCACCTACTGCAGCTGGCTTTTTTTTTTTTTTTACCAGCATGAAACTTCAAAAATTGAAAATGGCCTCTTATTTGAAAATTTTCTCTATGTTCCCAAACTAGAAGAAAGAGATATTATTTTAAGGCTAAGAAGAAAAGGGAGCTGAGAATTAGTCTGCCTCACATTTTTACAAACTACTACTTTCCCCTTTTTCTTAAATGGGAAACAGACTTGTTTCATCCTCTGCTTCAAATTTCTCTTCCTCTAGAAATGACTCAAGGCTGATTATTTGGTAATGTGGTATAAGCAAGTTCTGAAAAATGGCTCCAACTATTATGCTTGGGAAATTGCCTTAGATTCAAAATTCTTACAAAGCTAAATTATATCCATGTGTTAAACACATGCTTTCAAATTTCTGTCTGATAATAAAAATCTGTTTCAAAATTAAAGCAGGTAAGAATACTTAAGCCTCTGTGCATTACACTATATTTTAATTATACCTCAATAAAAATTTTATAAACATTAAAGCAGGTATACAAAAACTGTCAGCAAAACTCTAGTCAAACTTATTTGAAAACAACACAAAAAAAAAAACCCTGACCTGGTACAAATATCCCAGAAAAGGTCACACTTTGGGAAAGGCTCTGGCTGTCTTCACATATGCCTTGAGAAGCAGAGCATTTTCCTTGGAAGTAGTACTTTTGTACTTTGTAAACACTATCCACAATTTAGCTTGTTACCTGTATAAGAGAGTTGTGAGTATGTCCCCAACAAGCAGGTCTAGGAACAGGCACTGGACACTTAGGAGAATTGACTTTGTAAAATACGATTCTGTTAAAGAAACTCAACCTTGCATAAAGCAAGGAAGACACTTGTTAAGTGACAATATCTGAGAATGTTACTCTCCTGGTTTTTCCCTTGAAGAGGTTTTACAGATACCAGTGGCATTAGAAACTTTTTACAGACATGAGCTTTAAGGGAACACGCTATAGCTTCAAAAGATAAGAAGTTTTAGTGTCAGTCATGCTCTCTTGCAAATCCATTGACAATGCAAGGATTCTTAATATGTTGATTAATCAGTGTGTTAATATAACTGGCAAGCTGCCCTGAAGTATTCACTGAGGAAATACTCTGGGCCCAATTGTTTCCATCAGCCTCCGATAAAGTAACCCGACAATCTGCAACTCTTGTAATGTGCTTATAAAAACTAGACAAGAAACTTTTTCAAAAATTTCAAATCATTTTAATATCCACTAGAAACCTTTTGGTGTTTAGATTTCCCCCAGCATATAGGGCAAAGGTTATTCTTAGATGTTTCTGATCATCTTTGCATTGAGCTGTGAGAATGGGGATTTGTCTTGCTTTTTCCGTGGCACTCTTGTGCAGAATCAAGGGAAGGATTTTCTCGATCAGAACTCTCTCTCTTTACTCTTGTTGCCTCACTATTTACCTCCCCCTCTACTTCTGAATCGCTTAGTTCCAAATCAGGGCAGTACCCATCAGTTTCCTGATAAGAAGCTCTTCCCGTGGACCGCCTGAGAAACTGTCTACCCCACAACTGCTCTTTAGGGCTCACATTTTTAGTTGACTTAACATAGTACTGGAGATCCTCAGTGGGCCTCACCCATGTATTGGTGGCCTCCTTAAAGGACCTGCTAAAATGTTCTATGCCAGGTTTTCTAACGTTGCCCTGACTGGGCAAGTTGGAGCTGAGCATAGACTCTTGGTCACAGAACACCTCATCTGAATTATCTTTCTGGGTGATGTCCCCAGACCAGTTGCCTTCCAGGCCATTGGAACTGGCAACCCTGGAGTTAGGCTGACTCTTCCCGTTCCCAACAGATGTCTGTCCGTGAAGGGCAGCCTGAAGGGCTAGAGGCTTCCCTGATGATTGCCCATGATAGAACTCTGCAGATGGAGTTCCCCATGCAGGACTAGAACTCCTGGTTTCACTTCGAGAATTACTTTTGCTAGCTGACAGACAATTACTCTTGCTTTCCAGTGGATATCTTGGATATCTTTTCACATCTCTATTCAGTGGCTCCTCAGGCATCTGTGGGCTTCTTTTATTGTGACCAGGTGAGCTGCTGCCAGAAGAGGAGGGTTGTTGCTCAGTTTCGGTAGAGCTATCTCTGCAATCTTCAGATTTAGGCATTTTTAACTTCAAGGTAATTCGTGGTGGTGGGTAAAACAATGAGTTTTCTAGTGCATTTGTCAAAGGAGCTCCTGAGATCAAAAAGAAAGATCTGTTTAACAACTAATTTAATTATTAGCATATCTGGGTATCACAAAGTGAATTCATAAATCTATTGTTTCAAATGTCTAATCAACACATATATTTGATGAGCCTGTATACCATGGTGAACAGCTGAAGTGAGCTATAGTAGAGGATGAACCCAGAGATCCACAGAAAACACTATCCATATCTCCCAACCTTTTCACCTTTACTTTCCTAACCTACAAAACAATAACAACAACTAGTGTGCTCTGTCTTATATCCCTATCTCCACATCTTTCATTTCTTTGTGTATGTATGAGTGCAATTGTACATGTATGTGGAAGTCAGAGGCTAATACTGATTGTTTTCTTCAATCATTCTCTATCTTATTTTTTGAGACAGGGCTTTTTAATGAACTCTGAGCTCAACAACTGGCTACACTAGCAAACGTATGAGATCCTGTTTCCACTTAACCAGTGCTGGAACCAAATCACAAGGGTATGTACCACACAGATTTTTTTTTCTGAGTGTTGGAGATTGAACTTCACTAACAGAGCTCTTCCCCTAGACTTTTCCTTGCATTTCATTTCTACAAAGAATGTTATTCTAGCCAGGCATGGTGGTGCAGGCCTGTAATCCCAGCACTCTGGCAGGCAGATCTCTTTGAGTTTGAGGCCAGCCTGGTCTACAAAGTGAGCCCAGGATAGCCAAGGCTACACAGAGAAACGCTGTCTTGAAAACAACAACAACAAAACAAAACAACAACAAAAGAATGTTATTCACAGGCGTTTGGAATGAGTTTATGATTGGGCATATGTATAGGTAATGAGCAGGACTGAATATGCCTCAAACCCAGATATTTCTGATCTTATTCTCCTATCCTTTCCAGGCATTCCCAAGGAAGCCAAAGAGAAAACCTTAGAAATACAGTACAGGTTTTGGTGGGACAAAGGTAAATAAGTATTTTAACCTAGCATTAGAAGTGGTGAGAGGTTCCTGAATATTTTATGCCTTTAATCTATAATATTATGATTAGAAATGATCATTAAAGGGGGGTGTGGGATAATTTAAATAATATTATTGGACCAATAATAGCATGTGTGTGGAGGTAGATGACAACTTTATGGAGTTAGTTCTTTCCTTCCATCTTTACATGGGTTCTAATTGTCAAACTCAGGCCACCAGGCTTTCAAAGTAAGTGCTATTACCTGCTGAGCCATCTTGCCAGCCCTGGGCAAGGCTTGACAGTGGTAATGGCCAGCAGGAAAGTATCATAACATAGAGAATTATCCAGGGAAGTATTAATTATCCAGATATATCACCCTACAATTGGCCTTTGCGCATTATTATCTTAATATATATTATATATATATACACATTATAATATATATATATATAGAAGATGGTTTGCAGTTATCCTAAAGGGTATCATGCATTCCCCAAGGGTCCACTTTGAACAACTACAGCTCCCATCTCTGCTAGGGTTTGCCACCTATTGATGCTGCAAGTCATATTATAATCGGAAGCTACTTGGGTGAGTTCAATCTTGTCACCACACAGGGGACAACTCCCTGTTGCCTTTGCTTCTTATTGCTTTGGCAGTCATACTGCATGGTAATCTTGTGACTGAGTAGCTCTGCTACTTCCTGTTATACCAGGCTACTATGACCCATAGTCACAAATACCCCAAGAGCTTCTAACATCTGACACCTTGTTTCTACAAGTCTATCTTATTTTATGGTTGGCTTTTAACAGGTGCTGATTCTGTACATTTTGCCCAGATACCCTTAGTGCTCAGGTTCTTCCATCTATCTCTGTATTAAGACAAACACAGGGAGGTGTCATTGTATATGACTGCCATAATTCTAGTCACGCTTCCACTTTGGGTACTGCAATTGTCACCACCCATCTCTTTCACCAAGTCTCTTGTTGACTGCTCTATCTTCTAGTTTAGTTCTTAGTCCCTAGTACAGTGGTTTTCAACCTTCCTGATGCTGAGACCCTTTAATATAGTTCCCCATGTTGTGGTGACACCCCCAAATAAAATTATTTTTGTTGCTACTTCATAACTGGAATCTTGCTACCATTATGAATTGTTTTTCAATGGTCTTAGGTGACCCCTGTGAAAGGGCTGTTTGGCACCCCCAAGAAGTGACCATCCACAGGTTGAGAACCACTTCTCTAGTAAATTCTCAATAAATATTAATGAATAAATGAAAATATTAAAAAATATTTTTAAACTTCCAGCTGAGGATATTTTAACAGATGACTTTTAAGAGTATCCGTTATGAGTAACCCTAGAATTAAATGGTTTCTGGGAACCAGGATTTGGTGCTAGCTTCTTGATTTTAAGTAAATTTGATAATTAAGAAAATACTTTCATGACTGTAATTAATGGCATCAAATGTTTGTCTGGGATCTAGACTATCTACCTCAGACTAACAACCCCTCTAATCCTATCCTGAAATTTCTTTTCCTTCCTTATTGTTTAGGGAGGGAGCATGTTTCTTTCCAGGAATTTCTTACCTTGTAAATTGAAAATAAAAGAGGTCACATTAATTATTAGATTGAAGAAAATGAAACAATTTTTAAGTGGCATAACAGATACAAAATTAAATTGTAAAAGTAATATATAACCAGATTTTCTATATTTTCTCAGTCAATTTTAACAAACACGTTACCTTCTTCAATTTGATCATTGATAAGCTGAACTTGCAAACCGAAGATCTGTTCCTGCACTTTGGTGTGTGATAGTTTAAGCTTCTCTCGCCTGCTTATCATGTAGCATAGATTTCGGACCTGCAAGAAAATCCCCAGCAAATAAAAATGTTTGTCATGTTAAGCAAATTTATAGTTTAAATTGTTCAGCTACTTTGAAGACCATTGAATTCTGGTGGCTGTGGGAGTGAGGAATGAAGACATGATCCAAGGGCCACAGACCATGACCAAACCAAAGGCATTACTACAACATGACAATAATGGGGACATGGTTCCTATGTCAATCTGCTAGAAGAGCAAGTACTCCCGGGTTCTCTCTGAAACCTACTCTCTAGTCTACAGGATCAATATTTATGTACACAGTCCAGGTGAGACGATAATGGTATCATACATTAGCTTTCCCTTTCCATTACTGAGTATGAATGATAGTAGCACTTGGCATCTGTATCATCAGACCTGGCTCATTTCTAGAATTATACAATTATGAAATTCCCTAGGGTAAACACAGCACTTAACTTTTCTTTGAATTTGTAGCACTTAATTTACCTGATAAATAATATATCACAAGTTAAATAACCCGGTGAAGTGGCTGCCAACCAGAGATGATTTTAATCCCTAGGTGGAAGATGGTAAATTTGGAAAACAATTTTGGTTGTCAGAACCAAGTATATAAGGGATACTAGCATCTAATGGGTAGAGATCACTGATGTTGCTAAACATCCTATCCTGCCACTTATAATAAAAGGCAGTACTCCACAATAAATAAATTTGCAGCTTAAGATGTCAATAGTGCTGAGTTTGAGAAGCCCTGACACAGTGCTTTTCTGGACAAAGTTAACTCTTTAGGCTTTAGTCTCAGGAATATGCTAGTAAAATATAGCTGAGCCATTTTAGCAGTGAATTAAAGTTCATAGAGCAAATGCATGAAGCCTCTCCTGTTACTTGTCAAAATTTAAACAGAACCCAACATCTGGGGCTACAGTGAACTCAGACAACAAGGAAGAACACAGAAGCTCACACTATAAATGAAATGGTCATTTAAGAAATGGAAGTGATATCTCCAATCTCTATGTAGATATTAGTCAAAACTGGTCACCTTACCCTCTCTAGGTCCTGCCGCAGGTGCATAAACATTCTCATGCGAGTATGAATGCTTTCTTCTTTTGGCTGTACCAAGCCATTTTCTTCCTCCTCTTTTGGAGGAATTAATGGCTTATTGAAGTTGCTTTTACGCTTGAGTTTCCAGTAGTTATATATAAAGTCGACAGTTAACGTAGACAGCCCCAGCTCTTTGGCAACATCATCTACCTGAACCAAAGTATAAAATTCTTCTTCTAGCTCTCGAAGCTTCTGTGCCCTTAGGCTGATCTTTTCGCCTTTTGCCTGGCTCTGCTCAGCAACTCTGTGATGATGGTACTCGGCTTCCCCGGGTTTTGGCTTGTTTTGGCTATGCTTGAGGCAAAATGACTTGAATTTTACTTCATCCCCCTCATCTAGAATGGTCTTCATTTCTAGGCCATGCTCAAAGGCACAGGTGACATGGAAAGCGGTGATACAGCTTTTCACAGAGCACTGAAAAGAGAAAGAATGTGTCAGAGCAGCAGATGGGAAGAGAATGGAAATCTCTGTATCTCTGGGCCCCAATTGTGAGCTTACTTAATGCAAAGAAAAAAAGGGGGAAGGCTTGACCATGACAAATATTTTACAAGAAGAAAAAGATGAAATAAGAAGAAAATATTTTATTTACAAGTAAAACTTTTATAAATTATCCAGAAAACTTACTCATATAGAAAACAGCAAAAAACAGCTAAAAGTATTAAACTCACATTTTAAGATTTCAATTCAGGCAGCAAACATTCAGTTGCCTTTTTTTTGAGGAGTCTTTGATTTATGTAAAGTTACATGGATATGCTTTTATTGTAGAACTTTTCACATACTACTTACTAATAACTGAAAAATTCCTGGCCATAAGGCTTAAAACAAAAGCTATGTCAACTACCTATGTACCAGTATGTCATCAATTCAGGCAATATTATAAACTACTGAAAAAGCAGTTGCTCAGAACAAATGAAAGAAAAGACATAGTATTGTTGCCAGGACATTCATGGTCACAAGGAATTCCAATACCTAAACAACTTAACTTCCTGAAATTGTTCTTATACAGCTGAGCTATCCATTGGACTAGACAACTAGCCATGAAAAAGCTATTTAATTTTAAATTAATTTAAATGGGGCCAAAATGTTGTTCCCCATAACACTTGTGTTGCAAGTGTGAGGCTCTGGGTTTCATCCCCTAAACTGCAAAAAAAAAAAAAAGGTTAATTAAAATTACATACAATGAGGACCAATGACTCAGCAGGTAAGAGGGCCTGTCATCAACACTGATGACAAAATTAATTGCTAGGTCCTACATGAAAGGAGAGAGCTGACTCTTACAAGGTGTCCTCTAATTTCCACATATGTGCTTCCCTCAATAAATACATGTTATTTAAAAAATGGCATACAATGAAAAATTTAACTCCTCAGTCACATTAGCCACATTTCAACCAAACTAGACAACACACACACACACACACACACACACACACACACACACACACACACAC